AAGGCACAGCCCCTGGCCTGGCTGACAGGCGGGGCTCAGGCAGGACCTGCCCCTGCTCCCTCCGAGGGCAGAGGGTGGCCAACTGAGGGGCGGGCGCCAGCCCCCAGGACCTGCCAACTCCCCAAGTGGCCATTTCCCAGCTCCCCCTCCGGAGGGAGGCCGCTCCCACTGCCAGGAAAGCTGATCCCAAATGCAGGGATCTGGGCTCAAGTTCACGCGTTGGGTCTTCCTTCCTCCCTCTTTCTGGCTCATCCAGGAACACACGCCCATCCTGCTGTGCCGCTCCAGGTCCCGTGGCTGTCCCAGCACCTGAGCCTGCCCAGCTCCAGGCGCCGCTCCTGGCCTCGAGGCTCCGGGCTCCAGGCTCCTCACCGCCTCCCCTGCAACCTGGGGCTCCACGCCTGTTTGGCTGGCCCCTGGCCTGGGAGCCCCGGGAGGGGCAGGTAGGTCCTCTCACCCCCCAACCTCACTCCACGTCTGTGCATCAGGCCTGGGACTGGGGCAGTGCGCCAGCCAGCGAGGTTTGCACAACCCCCACCCACGGTGACCCCTCCTAACCTCCCATCTCATCCTCTCCTAACAAGGAAAGTGCAGACTGGCTTTCGCTGCCACATGCAAATGATGTCAGTGGCTCCGGGGCGGGCGGGGCGGACCAGCAGGGCCTCAGGCTGTGGAGGCCGCCACTTGGCTGTCATCAGGGGCTCCCACAGTTACTCCTATTGGAGGCATCTTTCCCGACCTGCTTTGGCGAGATGACCTTCTGCTCCAGCTCCCTACCCCTGCCTCAGTTTCCCCGGCAGTCCAGCCCCCTCATGTCATCACAAGACCTCTTTCCCCCACGGAACACTTCTTGGCCCCAAGTCCCAGCCCAATGCGGCCCAGGCAGCAGCGGTGTCCTGTGGGGGGCTCCCTGGCACAGCGCGCGTTCCCCAAGCCGGCACCTCCCTGCGGCAGCCAAGGTGGTGCCCTCTCAGGTGCGGGGAGGGGAGCTGTTCTCCCAGACTTGGTTGGTGACTCTGGGGTTAAGGGGACCCAGGCCTGGTGAGGAGGGCGGAGGACAGAGGGGCCTGCGGTCCCGGCTCTCCAGGCCCAGCACCCTGAGCTCAGAGAACACCCTGCCTGCTCCTGGGGTCTCCCCACGTGGCCCCTCACTTCTGCCCGACCTTGGCCGTGCTGCTGATGGGAGCTCAGGGCTGGGCCACAGGAGCCCCGACTCTGACCGAACCCCGGTCCCTTCTCCCCTCCACCCTCTGCTTGAGGCTGGGCAGGGGGTGCCCAGGCAGACGGGCAGGCAGCAAGCCCACGTCTGGCCCAGTTCCTGCCTTTGTTTCTTTATGTGCTGTGGCCAGGAATGCCCCATATGCCAGCGCCTCCCAACTGCAGCCGGACCGAGTCCCTGAGGCCTGGAGCCAGAGTGACCACCAGTGCTTCTGGGAGCAGCCCTCTCTGTGCCCAGGAGGAGGCCCCACTTTCCCAGGCTACAACCAGGCTGTGGGACCCCAGGTTCTGCGGGAGCTGGCCTCCGCTCTCACTCCACAAACCCTCGGCGAGGACTCACTCCTCAGCGAGGGCCGCTTCCTGCTCATGACCTGGCTGAGACCATCCTGGGGCCCGGTGCACAGTCAGAGCTGGGCTCCCAGGTGGCACAGGCGACAGGGTGCCCACTGTCTTTCAGCCGGTTTGACGGCAGGTACCCCGTCTTGTTCACTGCAGAGTCCCCAGTGCTCAGCACAGGGCCTGGCGCACAGTAGGCGCTCGGGTATCCGCTACACTCAGTGACGTTAACCATAAAACCAGGACACGCGATCCAGTGGGGACCAGGAAAGGCCGTTCAGGGCAGGACACCTGCGTGTGCAAAGGCCCCAAGGCCCGGGCATGGGCGGCCCCGGCTTCCCGCAGCCCCACCCCGGCGGCCAGGGCAGTCAGCGCTCCGTAGGCCGCCTGCCAGGAGCTGGCCTTTTAGTCACCGCGGGTGTTGGCTTCAGAGCTAATTGAGAGCGAATCGACCTGACTGATGTGGGCGTCAGGCGTCGGCAAGGCCAGGGCACCAGGGTTCTATTTCTGGCCTCACTTCTGCCTCCTGCCCGACCTTGGCCTTGCCCTTGCCGAGCCTCGGTTTCTCTCTCTGGGAAACAGGAACAAAAGCCTTTGCCCCTTTGCCCCCGGCAGGCCAAGGAGGTTTAAGAGGAGCCTGCAGAGGGCCTCCCCATGCGTCGTCCTCCTGCGACCTCCCATGGTCTTCAGGGTGATGGCAAAAATAACCCAGAGTGGATGCCGGGCTCCAGGGTCCCCGGGGTGTGGAGACCAAGCCACCCCACCCTCGTCCTGTGGGGGAAGGGGATGGTCTAACCCCCTGCCTGCACCCTGGGCTGCTGGGAAGGGGGGCAGAGAGGGAGTCAGGCCCCTTCAAGATTTATTGATCTGCTCTGAGGAATTCCACCAGGAAAGGGTGGGGGTGTCAGCAGAATAAATAGCTCATCTCCTGGCCTAGGCGAGGGGCTCTAGGCCAGGGGCTGCCCGTTCCTCAGGCCCTGCACGGGCTGCCCTCCACGCTCACCCTCAGAAACCCGTTCCCCACTAACCCATCCCCCCACTGACCCATCCCCCCACTGACCCATCCCCCCACTGAGGGGCCAGGAGGGGCTCGGCGGGGACACGGCACACGGTGAGGCGAGGCGAGGCGAGCTGGGCTGCAGCCAGGCTTGAGGAAGGAAAGAGCCGGGCCCAGCCTTTCACCCCGACATGTGTGCCCGGAAACCTGGCCGAGGCTGAGTCCGCCCCACCCAGGGCCGGCGGCTGGACTGAGTGACCTCGGGCCAGAGGGGGGCCACGCTGAGAACTCGGGAGTGACCCAGGCCCCACAGGCCCCAGCGTGGCCACTGGCCCTCACCCAGGGGCACAGGAGACTTCCGATCGCACGCCCCTCCGAGGAAGGGCCCGTGAACCCCGCGTGTTCGCCTCCCGGTGCCTCAGGTGATGGAGCTGCGGGACCCGCTCTCACTCTGCAGACCCCAGCCCGTCCCTGGCTCCTCTCAGGCACTTCCGAGTGCTCACGGGGGATGTAGGGGCGCGGGCTTGTCCCCACAGCACATGCTCTGCCAGAGCTCGCCAGGTGGCCTGCCCTCCGGTCACAGCCACAGCACCCTCCCCAGTTCCTGGGAACCCTCCCACCTCCACCCACAGGGAGGCTCCTCAGCGCCCGCACCCCTGCAGAGCAGGTCCCGCGCCTCCACTTCCTGGAGTCGGTGTCTGCTGGTTTCTGACCCTCCACCCGGGGCTGCCCAGGGCAGGACCAGACGCAGAGCGGGCGCCAGGGCTTCTGCCAACACAAGCTGGGGGCGCGGCAGCGCCAGCGCCCAGTTCCCACTCAGAGGAGCCCCTGCAGGCCCGAGGCGAGACTCCCCCCTGCCTCTAGAAGGACCCAGACTCAGGACCCTGCTCCAAAATGTCTGAGTGGCCCAGTCCCCAGCCTTCC